TGTGGCAGCTTAGCGACATCGTGACTGAAACAACTCTGCAGTGACCATGGGTTACCATAGCAACTGACCATTAGCTACCATGGTATCTGATGGTGAATACCAATTAAATAGAAATTAAACTTCTGTTTTGTTTTTAGTTTGTAGAAGGGATCTGTTTTAAAAGCTAATTGCTGCAGAAGATAAACATGAAGGCTTCTATATGAGCAGTATTCGTACACAGAAGACCTTTGTGTTGTTATTGTCTCCTGATTTAAAAAACCTCAAGTAGAACTTACAGCTGAAATAAAATCTTTGAATTTTATTATTTGCAAAAGCAGTAATACCCAGAAATACATTCTTTTCCACTTGTTGCTTTGCAGGGGCAGACTTTGGTTTGTTGTGTTGGGATTTTTATTAGACTGATCAACACAAAATTGGCTTCCATGCAGTAAATTAGGTCTACACATCCTGCTAACTGAACTCTGCCACTTTGAGACACGGCAATGGCCGCCCTGTGTTGTGAGGATTCTGGTCAGGGCTTTGCAGACATGTTAGTCATTTTTTGCAAGTCCAAGTCAAGTCTCAAGTCTTGAGAAGGCCTGTCACAATTATCAATTAATCGCACAATAAATTCTAATCACTTGATTAATTAAAATAAGTGCAATAATTTGCATGCTTGCTTGTTTCTCCTTCTGTTTTCATCTCCGTCACTGAGACGATATAGCTTAAAGGTTACTATTATATCTATGGAATGATCATTATCTTGAACTGGTAAATGAAAAATACAATTTAAAAAAGCACACAGGCAATTGTTTTTCCAGTTAAATTTTGCATCTTTATTTTTTTTCTTTCAAAAATAACTATTTTCATACAGTATTTATCTGACATTTGTGGTTACAACTTTTTCTAGTTTTAGGAGTAAATGTCTGCTCTTTTATTTTTAAGTGAAAATGAGGGCTGTGAAGAAAAAAAACAATCACAATCCTGCTTTTTATTAATACATATGAAGTTAGCAACTACAACAGATAAAGAAAAACCCTAAATAAATACCAGGACAATAACAATTCTTTCATAAAAGAAACATTGTGGCAATAACTTTTTGTAGCTTAATGCCCTGGAACAGACAGAACCGACTTGGCGGGCAGTATTTTAATTTCAATTCAGTTTATTTATTTAGTGCAAATTCACAACATTATTCACAACATATTTCTCCTCTACGACTGCCATGAAGTTTTTAAAGCTTGGCTTGTCGATCATGCATGCATGCGCACGGGCGTGCGGGCATATATGTGACGCAGCGTTGCGTCAGTGACGTCAGTGCAACGTGACAGTTTGACATCACCTCTGCCCCTTTTTTTATCTCTGCTGTGTGCGGGTAAGGCGATCGGCGATCAGTCAAGTTAGTAAAACAAAAAACACTTAAAAATATAATATTGTTCACAAGTCAGAAATCACGAGTCTAAGTCGATTCTGAAGTCCTTCAAATGCAAGTCTAAGTCGAGTCTAAAGTCATTAAATATGCGACTTAAGTGCGACTCGAGTACGAGTCACAAACTCGAGTCCCCATCTCTGGCGCTTTGAGATGAAGATAGTTAGAGAAATAGCAGAATTAATGGGAAACATGTTAGAATCAATGCGCTTATAGGATAACTTTATCTTATTGAGGATAACTCAATAAGATAAAGACACCCTTTCTTCAGACCTGTAGCGTTAATTGCAAATTAAAGTATTTGACTCACACATGCATAGAAAAGCATCCGTCTTTTGAGTTTTGACCAGTAAAAGCCTTCAGTTACTTTGTGCTGGTTTGTCACAAAAAGAATTCAGTGAACTTTGTGATCTTCACTGAATATTGTTTAATAAAATTTAGAGGGTGATACTTTTGAAAGTCTTTGTAAGATTATAATTGGAAACCTTACTACTCGAAGCATGAGATTTCTTTCTCCTCACTTTAATCTGCACCGTCACACCTCCTTAGGAAGGGCTGTCATTTAACGTTGTAGAACAAAAGCTCCTTTTGATCAAACTTTTGCCTTTATTTTCTCTTGTGATAATTTTTTTTTAATTCTTGCATCATGGCCCCACCAAGCTCTAGTGGAGAATTTGAATATTTTGCTCATGACCTTTATTTTATTTCAAGTTAAGATGAATGTAACAAGTTTAGCTGCCTTTGAGGTAGGACTGTTTGATTGCAAGCTGAAGCTGTAAAATAAACACTTATTCTGACTTTATGTGCCAACATTTTGACTTTACTGTATGTAAATCAACAAAGGAGGATCTGGATAATAGCTGTCTGGTTAAAATAATAAAAAGAAACCACCTTATCATTCGATGCCCTAATATTGGAGTTACCAATGTGCCATTTGGAGTTTTTTTTCAAGTCCAGTTCAATATTTGTTTTACCAGATAAACAAACCAGAAAAGCCAAATTGTTCCTTTTTTTGTCTTAAACGTGGCTATAACCATCTTGAATCACCAACAGCATAACAGAGCTTAAGGAGTCCGGCACAGCGGCTCCCTGATGCGTTGCCACATTCGTACAAAAAAACATCAGTATCTGTGAGACTTTAAATCATTTAGAAAGAACCCATTTAGCAAGACATTATTTTGGCGTACCTCTCTGATTGACTTCCTTTACATGTTTCATTCTTCCCTAAGGTTATGACACAACATGTTGAGCGCCCCCAAGAAATCTGTTGCTCCTTCCTCAGTTCAATCTGGGGTTTTCATGTAATGATAAAAAGGCAGCTAAAATTAACACTGCCTGTGTTGTAGCATCTTTATTTACTGACTCTTATAGTTTTGCTCTTTTTATCACACTTAATTGAAGTGTTGTCAAAGTATTATTTCATATATTTATAAAGTATAACTTTAGTAACTCCAGAGCCTAACAGCCGCCCGTAAAATATAAAAAAAAATGCTCCTGCTGGAAAGAGTGGCCCGCAGGACCATGGAGGGCAGATCGACTGTGAATCACAGTGGTACATGGTGATTATTTTGTGAATTAGTGGTTGTATGAGGCAGAGGATTTCTCTTCACCATCTTTACAATCAGAGACGTTGAAAATAGGCTGAGAGGAGAGGAAGGTTCTGTGAAAGAGCCCAGCAGCCCTCAGCTGTACCGTTTGGAGCCGCTGGCTCAGAAATTTACTCAACATGGATGCAAAATCATTATTTTAGAATAAAAAGACAGGGCATGTCTTTTTCGTCCAATTTAAAAGCGTTTTATAACTTTTTTTTTCAAAATGTATAGGGTTTTTTCCAATAAAGTATAGATGATGTTCAGATTGACACAAATCTAAAATTATTATATTAGAATGAACAGATGATGTGGACCTTTAAATGCATGAATTATTTTTGTAATAAAAAAAGAAATCACTATGTATTTCATTTTCTACAATCAATTAATTTATCGTTGGTCCCTAAGCTACCAACTGTAGTTGGAACAAGTCACCAGAGAGTAGTTGCTTAGAGCTGCTTACATCAGTTCACATCCCCAGGTAATTCACTAAAAAAATAAGTAAGCAATAATAAAAATTACTTTTTATCCTAAGGATGGTTTGAGATACAAAGACAGGATTTCAGCAAATCTTAGGAGCTGTCAAAATAATGTCTGGGGCATGAAGACAGCATTATAAGACATATATTTATAGAGTTTATCACATCAAAAAGGTTGATGTAGGGGAGAGTAGTCCTTTAAGATAAAAAAAAAATGCAATCTATAAGAAAATTCAATTTTACGTGCTCATAAATCATAAATTAATTGACAATAATCCAAATATGTGGTTTAATTAAATTTTCCAGATTCAACCTGTCCCAGGTGGCACCTGTAACATAGAATCAATTAAACACATAAATACTGTAAAACTTCTCTGCCAATATTTTGCTAATAAAAACCCAGAAAGCATCATATCATGCTCATGATATGAATGAAAAACAAAATCACTGACATCTACATGCAGCGTTACAAAGCAATTTCTTTGGCTGCAATCTAGAAGAAAAGTGTTAACAATTTTTTACGTTTCCAAAGGTGGCTGGCCTACCAAATGATCCCAAGAGAACATCATCAACCCATTAGGGGGTCACAAAAATGGAGAAGAGGTCATGACTTCAACAATATGAAGTTGAAGCTAAAAAGATATCAAAGGCCAACCACTGCTGACCGTAAGCAGCATAAAAAACATTTCATAAAATAAATTAAAAACTTCATAACAATCCTCAAGGCATTTTGGAGAAAATGTGTAAAATAACAACACATAAAAGAAATGTTTTGGAAGGCGTGTGTCCTGTTGCAACTGCTCTAAATCAACATTTCAGAGAAAAGAACGTGCTGCTCACAGTTAAGCGTGCTGGTGATAGTAGGATAGTGTGGTGGCCTGACAGTGCTTGGCAGCTTAAGGTCATGGACAGCTTGCTGATATTAATGGAACCATAAGTTCTGCTGAAAACCCTCAAGGAAAAGACAGAAGAATCTGTAAGGTTGAAATGCTTGTTCGGAGTCTGATGTGGGACACCAGAAGGCCCTTTTTGTTGTGTTTTTGGGGAAAACACTAACGGTTAATGCAGTAGGTTTGCAAACACACCAAGTTTAATTGGTGACTTTTGGTCACTTAGCAATCCAAACTGGAAAGCTCCCCAAACCATTTGAGCTTTCCTTCTCTCCTCATTGGAAATGTCCTGCAGAGAAAAAGCAACATATGTCCCATCATCTGCCCACACCATATGTCACGCCCATGGTCATTTTAACTTTGGAGCTTTGGATGAAATCTTCTTTGGCTGAAATCCCCAAAGCAAGCTTTGATAGTGTGAGAAACGTGTCTGGCATTCTGCTTATCCATCATCAAATCATTTTTCTGACCAATTTATTTCATTTCCTGGTTTTGAACTAACGGATAAGTAGTATAAAAATAACATGTTTAAAATAATTTTTCTGCATCTTTTAACGGTTTTGTGTTTTGGAAACATGACAGTTGTTACATGTGTACATGTGTGTGAAATATTGCTCTGTTTGATTTTGGTCAGTGTCTTGGAGAGCCCCAGCCGGTTAGATGAAGAGCACCGGCTCATTGCGCGTTACGCAGCACGCCTGGCAGCTGAGGCAGGCAACTCCACAGTAAGTATCTCATAAAGCCTCAGTGGGTTTCAGTCAAGCTGTGATTTCAATCTTTTTGTAGTAAAAGTTATTGCTTTCTTCTTTATTTTCTCTCTTTGCTGCTGGTAAAATTCAGAGAAGTAATAAAAAAAACTACTAATTTTAAATTCTTATGATGTAAACTTGAAATTGAAATTTGTGCTTATATCGGATCCCAGAGTTGGAGGTTAATACATTTCAAAGTTAACAATTGACTCTATATAAATTAAATGAAAATGTATGTTGTGTATATTTACTGCCTGTTGATACAGTAGATGTTTAAATAAGGGCTGAAACAATCAGATTAATCGATTATTGATATAATCGTCAACTAATATAGTAATCATTTATCCATTAAATGGTGAATAAAATATACCTTTAGCTGACAGAGCAACCTACTTAGAGCAGTACATATACCAAAACTGTAAAAAAAAAAAAAATGTTTTTAAACATTTTGCATTTCAGATGAAAAACTTTTTTGCTTGTCAATATGCTCTATCCAGACCTCCTCGAGTGGAAAAGGTTTAGTTTCCCCTGTTTAAATTCTGCAAAAAAATGTCTTTAAGCGACCTTTCTCTATACGATTATTAATTGAAAAAAATATGTAACAGATTAATGGATTAGCAAAATGATCGTCAGTTACAGCCCTAGTTTAAAGTGCTCCTTTTTTCCTCTTTAAAACCAGAAAGCAGTGTTGTATAGTAACAAAGTAAAAATACTTCACTACTGTACTTATGGTAAGTACATTTTGGAGTACTTTATATTTTCCAAGAGTATAGATTTTTTTTCACTTTCACTTTTACTTCACTACATTTACAAACTTAATTGCATACTTTTACTCCGATACATTTTCAATGTTTAGTTTAGTTACTAAGTAAAAAAAAGAAAAAAACGAGCGAGAGAAATGCAAGAGTTTTGACCCCGCCTACTGACTACAAAGTCAGGTCTTGTCTGGGCTTGTTCATCAACACCAATAGGATGTTTCAGAAAGCCAGTCTAAATTTATCCTACACTTGGTTGTGTTTATTATTTTAAGTGAATTTAACATTCAAAGTTTACCAAAATGTAAAACAATGTCATTCAAACTGCACTTACTTTTTACTTATACTTTTCACTTCATTACTTGAGTACATCTATTTTTACAGTAATTCTTATACTTAAGTACAAGCCATTTCAGATACTTTAAGACTTTTACTCAAGTAACATTTCAGTCAGTGACTTGAACTTTTACCAAAGTCATATTTTGGAGAGGTACTTATACTTTTACTGGACTCCGAGATTTCAGTACTTTATACAACACTCCCCGAAAGTCTGGCTGTGTTGTATAAATTAGGGATGCACGATATTGGGATTTTGGCCGATATCTGATATGCCGATATTTTAAAACTCATGTAGCCGATAACCGATATCGATACCAATGTTAAAGCTGGAGAAAAATAAGTAGTCATTGAAAATAGCAGTTTTGTTATCCATTTCTGACACTTTGAAAAATAATATACTCAAATATATTTTCATATGCTGATATCAAATTGATTTTTAAAAACGCGGTATCGATCTATTTTACTTTCAAAATCTCGTGAAATTTCATCGTTCTGTTACAAACTCTCGTGATATTTTGCAAATTCTTGTGAGATTTTGTTAGTAAAATAGATCGATACCGGGTCAATATATCAACATATAAAAATATGGCAACATTTCGTGAATTTTCGGGGGATTTCGTAGCATAACGACGACATATAGCAATATTTCATTAGTAAAAGAGATTGATATGGTGTTTTTAAATGGCAAAATATCAGCATATGAAGATATTGTGATATTTTAATGTATCAATATTTTTTCCCTTGTCTTTAGAAGTTTTTAAGTCTGTAAAAAAGACGTTTTTGAGGAAGAAGAAGAAGTAGTGTTTATTTATTTATTTTTTTTAGACTTTAGAAACTCAGAAGCTGATCAAATTTCGGGTTAAATATCGGAGGGGTGGCCGATGTCCGATATTCAGTTTTAAGGCCGATACCGATAGGGGGCCGATTATATCGTGCATCCCTAGTATAAATTGTTGTTGTTTTTTGTTAGTATTAATGTTAACAGTTTGAAGGTTATGAAGACCATCGTGAACTTTAAACATCGCTCTTCAACACTTTTCATTCCATCTACTTTAAATTTAAAAATGCTATGACACAGCTGCAAACCTATGAGACATGCTCATCTAATTTAACTATCTAATCATGCAATAGAGAATAATTATAGATGCAACAAAAACACCCATGGAGGAGCTGTAGAAAGCCACTGCTCAGGTGTATGAAATTTACAAGATAACAAGTGTTGTTATCTTGTAAACCTGACCCTTATTGGAAAAGTGTCACAAAGAATCTAATTGGTTAAAAAAGATTCATTCCTATTTACCGTTTCCACAAACCCTGCAGAGAAGACAGCAAAACTGTGAAGGATAATTAAGACGGCAAAGAAACTATGCATGATTTAAATACTAAAACTGCATGGCCCCAAACTCAGTATGCTGATGGCAGAACATGGTAGTGGGAGCGCCATGCTGTGGGGATGCTTTTCTTCAGCTGGGACAGAAAGGCAGGTTTGTGTGTTTTAGGGAATTCATAGAAGAAAACTTGTTAGGGGGTACAAATGGCTTGAGAACAAGTTGGTGAGACGTTGGTTTTGAGATATTTTCATATCAATAGTGACATAATAAGCTGAATACCAATGTACCCTCAAATTTCAGCTTTTTATCTGTACAAGGATTTAAGCCCCAGATATACTTTTTTCTCCATGCCTCAGTTATGCACAACTCAAATAAATACAGAGATCTGTAGAAGCAACATGGCAAAATGTCAACAAAAAATGCAATTAGTATGAATACCTTTACGTACTTTCTCTCACTCTTCCTTTTTTCTTTTTCAGCAGCAATGTCCTCCAACAGATCTGAGTTTTAACTTTGATGCCAATAAGCAACAGAGGCAGCTGATTGCAGAGCTGGAGAACAAAAACAGGTACGAAATATCATTTGATATAGTTTATTGTTGTTGAAGGTAATTTTAAAAGGTGGCTTTGAATTAGGGGAAAATATCTGTGTTATATTTTCCTTTACATTTAAAAACAGAAAGTGAATTAACTCAGTATCTCACTGTAAATAATTTAAAAACAAAACCATGCCAAATGTTAAGGCAACTTTTGAATTAGATGCAGGATGAAACAGAAGCCAAACACCAGGGGCAGAGCTAGATGGGGGGCCAGAGGTGGCCATGGCCACCCTTAGCCAATCATTGGCCACCCCTGTTGCCACCCCTACCATTCTTTTTCTGGGGATGTTCAAACATATTAAACATTTACATTTTTGTGGTTAATTATGCACATCAAAATACTAACATTAATGTTGATATATACAGAAATTATGCTCTTTTCAGAACGAAATTTTGTGTCATATGGGGTAAAGAGAAAATTATGTGTCTCTGCAGGTCATCTACATGTCTTCAGTAAAATCATAGATAAATAACTAGTACTTTAATAACTTAAAAATCAATTTAATGCACATATTAGTACACGTAAATATTAATTGTATGCAAAAAATGTTTTGATAAATATGATAAGTAATGACAATGGAACAATTTTCACCCCAGACATTTTGTCCACTATACCTGTTATTTAGATAGCATGGATATTTAAATATGTGCATCTATTTTTTTAGCAAAGGCTGTAGGAAAGTATAGTTTGTCTTTATTTAGGAAATATGGATGATATGCCATTCGCATTCGGCCACCCCTCAGTGTATATTGGTTATTGAATGGCCACCCCATTAACATTTTCTGGCTACGCCTCTGCCAAACACCTTGCTTAAAAAAATGCTTCAACTGCTCTCCTCTGAATCAGATTGGATTTTATGCCTGCATGTTAAGGTTTCATCATACCTGCAGTGTAACTGTCTTTTTGTTTCAGTGGATAAAATTTTCACCATGAGGCCCAATTCTGAAGTCTCTGCCTAATTTTCAGCTTATCAGCTGCCAATGCGTCTCTCATTTGCATAGATTACTGCTATTCTATATGTTTTACATCCATGCAGCTATTCGTACAGTTTTTCCATTTCTCCTGTAAGAATCTTTAGTTGATCTTTTTTTTATTTTACTTTTGTTATTATTATATTTTTTATAATAATTTTTTTAATCTAAATTCAATTCAGTTTATTTATATAGCGCCAATTCACAACATGTCATCTCATGGTATTTTACAGAGACAATTCAACCAGATCATCCAGTCAAGTTTTCTATCTAAGGAAAACCAGCTGGTTGCATCGACTCATTGACTCTTCAGCAATCCCTCACACTAAGCATGCTTGTAGTGACAGTGGAGAGGAAAAACTCCCTTTTAACAGTAGGAAACCTCCATCAGAACCAGGCTAGGTGTGAGCGGCCATCTGCTGAGGCCCACTGGGGTTCAAGGAGACAGAAGCAGACATAGAAAAAGAAGCATAGATACAAAAGGAAACTGTCAACCAGCTCCACAGGCGGCCCCGTCCAGGAAACACACCGCCAGGCAGACGAGCTCTGAGCCAGTTCCCATGTTTTAGGATGAAAGAGAGCACATCCAGCCAGTCACAGTCAGAGAAACAGGACTAAACTAAAAAAAAACAGCCTATAAACAAGGGTGTTGATGGAAGCAGCACAGCTGATATTTCTCTCCAAGGTGGTGTCACAGCCAAACAGGAACAGACCAGATGAAGCTACTATGAAAAAAAGCAGAGAGAGCAGAACGTTAGAGATTGAACAAAAAAATTCTGCAGAGTGGGGGATTAGAGATAGAATGAAGCAGAATGATGAAAATGTGGTCCCTATGTCCTCCAGCAGTCTAAGCCTATAGCAGCAGAACTATAGAGATAGCTCAGGATAACCTGAGCCACTCTAACTATAAGCTTTATCAAAAAGGAAAGTTTTAAGTAGACAGGGTGTCTGCCTCACGGACTAAAACTGGTAGTTGGTTCCACAGGAGAGGAGCCTGATAACTAAAAGATCTGCCTCCCATTCTACTTTTAGAAATTCTAGGAACCACTAGTAAACCTGCAGATTGAGAGCGAAGTCCACTGTTAGGAACATAAGGAACAATCAGATCTCTGATATCAGATGGAGCTTGGCCATTTAAGGCTTTATATGTGAGAAGGAGGATTTTAAATTCTATTCTGGATTTAACAGGAAGCCAATGAAGAGAAGCCAGGATAGGAGAGATATGACCTCTATGAAATTTTCATCAGAAACATTTAAGATTATTTTTTGTTCTTGTCATTGTTTCTTTGTATTGTTTTTATCTGTGTATCCTTTACTTTACATACAGACAGTATTTGCTTTGCCCTTCACACACCCACATTTTCCCGTTGTGTAACAACAAAGGCTATTTCATTTTATTCTATTATTTTCAACTTGTCAGACTCAGAATTTTTTCTTCTAACCAAATTAGGGAGATCTTGCAGGAGATCCAGAGGCTCCGTTTGGAGCATGAACAAGCCTCGCAGCCCACTCCAGAAAAAGCCCAGCAGAATCCCACGCTTCTGACCGAGCTGCGACTCCTCAGGTATCAGTCTGTCACCAGCAACACGTGATCCAACATGCCCTTACCTGACAATAACAGCAAGATGCATACAAATGGAGGGCAAAGCATGCCTCAATAACACCCCAGATCCCTCTTCTCTTCCTGTTTACTGAGGCAATGTCATCCTAATGCAGAAGACTTTATATAAATTTGCTGCGACATTGTCAGCAACATAAGTGTTTGTTACACTGCAGAGCTTTGGTCACCCTTAGGTTTATTCCTTGGAAGAGATTTCTGAAATAACAGACTAAAGCAGTTTTTACCCTGAAGAAGGTCTTGTACTCTGTTCTAAACATAAATCTGAAGTCAACAGAGGTGAATATTTCTTTTTTATTTTAAAGTGGAACGCCAGTTTTTTTACATTGGACCCTTGATTTTATGTTACTACATCACGTTCTACTCACCCATATTAGTTTTGTGTCATTTGGAGCCGTTCTGAAGATATTCCGTTAGGTTATATCCAGGTAACGTCTTCCTCTGGGCAACGACTTGAAGGCACAAACTAAACTGTTCATCATTTATTCTTTATGGTACGCCAGCATTCATAACATGTAGGCGAATCATTGTCTCCCAGACATTCGCGGTTATATTTTTTATATTTATATCTTTTTAAAACAAAGCGGCGTGTGTATGACATCATCCGCGTGCGCCGGCTACCATTCATTCATCCTGTCCGCTGAACTGCTGCTAGTTTTCCTCACATGCCTGGAAGATGTCTAGAGCTGCTACCACAGATGATCTCACTCTCCAAATGGAATTGAACGATTCAGATTAGCTAGAATGAATAGAAGGGGTAGAACGTAGCCGCCTGTGGCCCGGCCTGCCTGTTACAACTCTAGTCCGGCGAGCGGATGACGTCATACACAGTCCGCTTTGTTTTTAAAACATATAAATATAAAAAATATAACCACGGATATCTGGGGGACAGTGATTGGCCTCCATGTTCTGAATGCTGGCGTACCATAAATGATAAATGATGAACAGTTTAGTTTCTGCCTTCAAGTCGTTGCCCAAAGGAAGACGTTACTTGGATATAACCTAACGGAATATCTTCAGAGCGGCTCCAAATGACACTAAACTAATATGGGTGAGTAGAACGTGATGGAATAACGTAAAATCAAGGGGCTAATGTAAAAAAAAATAAAAAACGGCGTTCCCCTTTAATGTTCTAAACTGGTGAGTGTGAAATTTGTAATCACTTTTTTGTTTCTTGAGGTTTTCATAGGGGGCCATGCTGAAAAAACGTGCTTGAACATAATCTGCTGATTATGATGAATCCCTATAAAGATTTCCTGGCAGAGAGCGAAAGCCATTGGTCCGTCAATGAAAGCCTCCAAGTTCTGAAACAAAGCAAAGCAAAAGTTTTTACTTCCCTCCAAAATCATCCAAATGATGGTTAAGCCTGCAGTGTTTTTGCCTTGGAAACTCCTATGGAATTTTTGTGTTGCATCAACGTGAACACTGACCTTACTGAGTCTGTTGAATCCTGCATTATTATTTGGGGTGGGGTTGTGTTACCTCCTAGATGAATCTTTGGTGGGTTTTTGAAATAATTCCCTGCCACTCCAGGAAAAGGTTCCACTCCTGGTGATGAAAAGTTGTTTTCGTCATTTATGCTTCATGGCTCTGACTGCAATTCTATGGAGTTCAAAGGGCCTAGAAAACATTTTGCAATATTTTCTGAAGTGATAATTAATAATGACTGTTATCAGTGTTTGAATGTCTTTACAATAAGGCTGCTTTTTAACATCATCAAGGCAGATTCTACTGTATATAACTGTTAATCATAGATAGGTTTATTTAAAAAGAGGAGCAAAGTTTTCATATATATGGCAAGGTGTGTTTGTATTTATTCAGGTTCTGTTTATTCATATTAAACATTTTTACATAAGCAGAGGAAATCTGAAAGGGGAAAATTCATTTTACCCGCTACGTGTGGCTCAATTTCCTATTTCAGGATAAACTTTGTCTCAAGATTAAAACCCTGCTTACTCTCCAGCCAGTAAACTGTAAAGAATTTTAAAGCAACTTGGGATTTGTGAGCATCCTCTGCTCCACTATACCACTGGTCTAATTTCCCTAATTAGGCTCATTTCAGACTCAATTCTAATACCTCAATGCAGTAAGGACACTATAGCCTCGGTGGTAATAAAACTGTTATCTGAATAGGATGTGAAGATAGGACCAGGAAGCATTATGCTTCCTAGCATTAAATGCATTTAGCATAGGAACCCCCTGAGGTCTCTAGCTGCTTTTAAAAACTAAATGGTTTTCCATAATCATTTGCACGATAAACAGAATTAGCACAGCCCACCTCACTTAGTTTATCAAAAATGCAAATATCATCACCTTCATATGTTCTGGGTTTTATAATAGAGACCTTAATTGCTTTCTAAATATGTGTAAATTTAATTTTTGTCGTTCTTTTCCAGCAGCCTGTAGTCCCACTTTAACCAGTGATTCATCAGCATGTCTGTCACATAAAGACGTCCATGAGGCTGGGGGGTGTTTTGGATAGAGTTCTTTCTGTTGGCCCTCAAAAGGTGAAGGGATAGGAGCTAGGAATAGGAGCTGGGAGATAGCCATTATTTTAGGTATATGGATTCATCTCCTCTTCTGAGAAGATTTGGAAATACTAAATATTAACACTAGAGGGTGATAATTAGCTACTTTTCACAAATTAATCTTCACTTTAAACACTAACTAGGCTCAGATCAAAAACAGTGCATATCTTATGGCTAATTTATTTATTTATCTTGTGTTCGTATCAAAATAAAATGTGTTTATTTAAATGTGATAATGAATAAAATTAAAGTAAAAAAGACAAAACAAAACAAAAAACAGCTAATGACAAACTGTTTTCCTCTATACCAAACTGAGATCACCAGTTTTGCCCTCAATACAACACATTCTACCCAATTTTCTATGTATCTATGGCATTTTGGTCTTTATTTATTTTTTTTAATCTTTGGGATTCCTTTTCTACGACTGAAATGTGCGCTTTTAGATTTGTAGTTGCAGTTTGCACTTCAGGGCCACCGTAAAGGGTTTTAAACTTGTAAAACTTAAATATGTTTGTGTAAGATAAGGTTCTCGAAACCAAACTGACACTAGATGTGCCTCCAAGAATATCAGGAATCTCCATTTCTGCTGCATACACCAAGATAAAGAAAAAAGAGATTGCAAGGGCAGAAATGCATCCCAGAGAGCAACCATGGTGAGGATTGCTTTAGTTGTTATCTCAGACCTTTTACAACACAAACTTCAACTTTCAGCGATGTACAGAAATGTATGTTGTACTTAAGTAGTATACTTAAGTAAATATGTTTTATGTAAGAATATTTTGAAGCCTCTGTGTTCAGAAGTAAAAATAAAAGCACCCTCCCCTCGATCTTCTGACCTTTAAAATATTTTATGTTTGAAAGAAACAAGATATGTTTCTCCTGCTATTTTTTTCTGTTTTAGATCAGATTTATAGATTTAGCTGTTTTAGAGTGTAATCCAGCCCTCAAAACTCCCAGCTGCATAATACAAGGTTGTAAACCTGATCAGAATTCAGCATCTCATTCTAACCCAAATGTTAGTACATGTCATACATTTTGAAGCCAGTACAGTTAGGTACAACTGCAAATATACTATCGGATTCTTGGATCGAAAGAAAGCTGTGTAGATAGTATGGTCACCTCACACAAATCCTATTACATGCATTTATTCATTTGTTAATGAATGACCTTGGAAAAGGATCTGATTCTGTTCAGCCAATCTTCTGCCAGGATGTGCTTTGCATATTTTGTTTTGGCTTTACAGTGCAATAAAGCTGCAAAGGTATTTGGGCTAGTTTTACTCGGTGTGGAACAAATTAATAAACTTAAATGTGTCCTTGCTGTCCACAGACACAGGAAGGATGAGCTAGAGAGGCGCATGTCGGCCTTGCAGGAGAGCAGGCGGGAGTTGATGGTCCAACTGGAGGGTCTGATGAGGTTGCTGAAGGTAAAATGCTCTCCTGATTTAAGAAAATGTATCTGCAGGTGGGAGGATGAGAGCTCAATGTAGCTAGGGCACCAAACGTCTTGGATCTGCTTCTTCCTTGGATATGTACTTGCTTGTTGGTGCTAATCTACCTTAGATAATTAGGATTTGAACAGAGAAAATGTGCAAACGGCTTCACACCCAAGAAACTACCTGGATGTTGTGTTGTGTAAATGTGCCATTTGATGCATGAAAAATCTTTTTTTCATTAATTCTTTTGCTCTCGCTCTTCTTGCTTTTTCTCTGCTTACCTTTGTTGGCTGATAGGATGAGGAGCAGAAGCAGGCTGTAAGTTGCCCTTAATTCAGTTTGCATAGAGCTTAGTTGAATTTCTCTATACAGTACTTCCTCCTCTTTTCGAAGATACAATTTGTATAAGTTTGTTAAATCAATATAGGAACACAAAACATTCTTTGTCTGATCTGGTAATGGATTTCTGATTAATGCACAATAGTTATTTTAATGTCAGCATGAAGTTTAGAGTGTTTGTGTTCAATGCCAGGTTGAAGAATACCCAGCTTTTATTTGTCCATTTGTCAGACTTGCTCCTTTAGTCAGCGGTACCCACCTCGCTTTAAGTGGTCTGACTGGTCATCTGTCCTCTGCCTCCGAGTCACTGACCTGGACTGTGCCACATTCACTCACAGACAGTGATCTCTGTGGGAGATATAGCTCCTGCCTCAGCAATGAAACCACTTCCACATCCATGCATCATATTCATTAACCTCCTGATGTAGCTGAGCTGTTTCATGGAGAGACGTCCAACCAGTATACCGTATTTTCTGGACTATATGGCGCTACCCTTTTTATTGCCTATTCGAAGGTGCAGCGTTTCTGGGGATTTTCCCAAACCAGCAGCGGGACGGAAGTCAAAATTGGAAATAAAAGAAAAAGAGGATAATTTTATTTTAGCACAAGTGCATGCTAGCGAGAGGCACGACGGAGAACAAATGTGCCGAATTCCAGAGATGGGAAGTAACGAAGTACAAATACTTTGTTACTGTACTTAAGTAGATTTTTCTGATATTTTTACTTTACTTTACTA